CCAGGCACTTAAGCAAGATAAGTGGCAGCTGGCACTATAAGCCGAACGCCAGACACTTGCTAAAAACTTAAAGCCAAGTGGCAAGTGGCATTCTAGCCGAGCGCCAGGCACTTAAGCAAGATAAGTGGCAGCTGGCACTATAAGCCGAACGCCAGACACTTGCTAAAAACTTAAAGCCAAGTGGCAAGTGGCATTCTAGCCGAGCGCCAGGCACTTAAGCAAGATAAGTGGCAGCTGGCACTATAAGCCGAACGTCAGACACTTGCTAAAAGCTTAAAGCCAAGTGGCAAGTGACATTCTAGCCGAGCGCCAGGCACTTAAGCTAAATAAGTGGCAGCTGGCACTATAAGCCGAACGCCAGACACTTGCTAAAAACTTAAAGCCAAGTGGCAAGTGGCATTCTAGCTGAGCGCCAGGCACTTAAGCAGGCACTTGCCATAAACAAACACACGGCAAAGCTAATATCAAAGAAAAAGAGAGAAGAGATATGTATGTATTGAAGATAAGTCGAATAGAGCACAACACATAGGGAAAAAGAGTTCTGTCGTTTCATTAATATTGAGCATTGAGTTTACAAAAGAGAGATGTCCATCATTACAAAAAGATATGGAATGGAAGAATTCAAAGGAGCCCTAGCTAGACGCCTCAGTACCAACAGCATCCTGGTCGTGCCGACTCGCTTCCTCGGCCCCATCAGCCGTCTCACCTTCATGAGGTGGGGAATCAAGGTGAATGACTGAATCGTTCGGCTGGGGTTCAGCGTCAGCAGTGGCTATGGAAGGAACCACGGTTGACGATTGAGGAGCGGTCAATGGCAGAGCGGTAGGAGGAGCTGTGATGATCCTGGAGGAAGCAATGTCCTGGCACTCATCAAATATACGCTCCGCTTCGGTGGGTTCTGGGTCGACATAGACCCCCAGAGGTTCGATCCCCAGATCCTTGTCTACCTCATCCGGAGTGGAGCTGGTCTGTCCCTCATCCGGAACCCGGTCGGCGAAACCTTCCCGGAATCCTTGAGCATACCTAAGAGCACCGACCCTTGAGAACCGAGCGTGAAGGGCCAGCATCCCACCACCCACTCTGCTGATCGCGTCGATCAGAGCGGTACGCTCGTCCAGAGCTCTTTTTTCAAAGGCCATCCGAGCAGACTGTTCATCAGCTAGAAGGCGCTGGAGTTCTGCCTTCTCTTCTCTAATTGATTCCCGCTCGGTCTGCCAGACGCTCTTCTCAAGCTGGAGGGCGTCCTTCTCATCCTGAAGGGAATCATTCTCCTTCTTCAGGACATCTCTCTCCTGCTCGGTTTTGTCAAGCCGAGCCAGTACCTCGGTATTCTTCATGGCGAGGAGGTCGTTTTCTTTATTAGCCACCTCCAGGCTGTCAGAAAACTTACGGGCCCTGGCGTTCCCCATCTCCACCTGCTTCTGCATGGCCATCATTCCGAACAATGTCTGCATAGGTGCACATTAAAAACGGTTAAGCCAATAGTCAGGTCGGGCGAAGGCAAGACCAAATAATATGAGAGAATGCATGAGTTAGAAAATAAAAGTCACCTCCATAGCAGATTGGGGAAAGCGGCTGAACACATCCTTCTGGGAAAGGCCCTTTGCCGCCTCAAGGTCCTTCGGAGTCCACATGCTCCTGTAGTAGGCCATAGCGGTCTGGCCATCCTTCAGCATGGTCTCGTTCGGTTTCACGAACGTCCCATCCGTTCGGGTGTACCGAGGGGCCCATGGCGGTAAGGTGGGGATAGAAGAGGGGCCTGAAGCAGAAGCAGAGCCACCTGCTGCAGCAGGCCCAGAGGGAGCAGGAGCTCTGACCGCTCGGTGCAAGAGAGCACCCGGCCCGGAGACCCGGGTCCTTCTAATGAGAGGCTCCTCCTCAGGATCGACTTCACTATCAGGATGAGGCCTTTTGCCTCGTTCTTTGTCCCGACCGCCCCCCGCAGCAGCAGGAGCTATGGTAGCTGGGGGGGACGCGTTCTGGTTGGCAGCAGGGGCGCTGACAACAGGGTTAATAGCCACTGCGCTCGGGACAGTGTCAGATATGGTGGCTGAGGAGGAAGCTGACGCTGGAGAGGAGGTCGCCCCAGCAGCAGGAGTGGCTGCGGGAGTATTCTTCTTCCTGCCAAAAGAAGGAATCTGAAGTCTGCTCATGTTGTAGCCGAGTGATGAGAGCGCTAAGAGGTTGTCTGAAGTGAGGAGATCTGAGCAGGAAGGAATATCGTTCAGAACGTATTTCTTCAAGTAGTTACTCCTATCCCTGCAAACACTATAGCTCAAGTCATCACAAGGTATTCCCAAGGAACGGCATAAGAAAGTGCAAAAACGAGGAACGCATGTTTCGCAGGGGCAGTCATGTTTATGAGATTTGAATTTTTTATAGGAGGAGACAGAACAGACACCAAAGGCGCTCGGGATTGGGTAATCCTCTGCAGCCGGCGAAGACCAAGCCCCACTAATGCCCACTATGCTATCCCTCCAACCCTTCTCAGATTTTATTGTGTCAGTACATATGGACATCTTCTCGAACGGGTAGAGGTGGTAGAAGGGTTTGTTAGTACGGATCTTACTGACCTTATAGCACAGAAGGAGGTCTATGAGGTCGAGGTCCAGATTTCTGTCACGCATCAACAAGAGCATAACAGATATGATTCTAAAGAAGTTGGGGTTGACCTGCAGAGGGGATATCCCCAATCTATTGAAGACATAACTAAAGAAAGGGTGCAGAGGGAACCTAACAACATTCAATTGAAGGTTCGTGAATAAGACTTCGCCGGGCAGGAGGCCGGCGCCGGTCATAATGTTAACATCCTGGGGGCAAACCCTAACTTCGATGTTGTCAGGAAGTCTAAGTCTCATACGAAGAACATCCAGATCTACAACCATGGTGGAAGTGCTAGAAGAATCTAAAAGGGGGTAAATGGAAGCCTGACGAAAGTAAAAAAAAACGAAACTAACCTCGGAGGACTGCAAGATCGCTGGAAGAATGACTCTTGAAGGATTTCACCAGAAAAAGCTTAGCACTGTTCTAGAAAGAGAGAGACTTGGCTGATGATGGAGACGGTAAAGGGAAGTGAAGTGGAATTCTAGAGCATTATAAAGGCGAGGGGGCCCGAGGGCCGAAGCGTCGGGAAGGCGAGAAATTCCTCGAGCCCCGGAACATTGATTCTGGATCTGACCGTCCGCTCCCCCACGTGGTTATCTCGAGCCGTCAACATCATGATGAGACGCCATCAATAATTACCCCTTATTAAATAGGGGGCAATTATGGGGGCAGTTGAGGAGGCCCCGGACGACATGGGCCAGATCCGACTCGCAAACACAACATTCAGTTCGTACAGCTGGGTCAGCCCATATAAAGACACTGCCATATGGGCCGAACGGGAGTAAGCCCATCAAAGGTGACTAGGGCTTATGGAGGAATAGGCCCAGATCCAGCAATCAGTAAATATCTTGTAAATATCTTGTAAATATCTATAAATAGGATATGGAATGGAAAGGAGAGGGGTTTTTTTTTTTTGGTTGAGGTGTAAGAATTCTAGAGAGAGAAAGAAAAGAAGGAGATTCTTGCATCTTTAGATATAGAGGGGTTTTTTCATAATTTCAGTAGAGGCAATTTCATAATTTTATGGGTATAAGTGCAAAAATATATAAATTTAGGGGTAAAAAAATGCAATAATAAAAATTTTCATGAGTTAAGTCACAAAAAGCGGTGAGGGAATTCGAGAGAGGGAGCATGAGCAGGTTAAAAAAAAGAATTCTTAAAGTTAAAAAAATTCTTAAATTCAAGAGAAGGGGCGGGTTACTATGTAATTAAAGTTTTTTAAAAAAAAATTATACATTAATTATAAAAATTCTTAAATTTGAACTTTTAAAAATATATTTAAAAGTGTCCAAGTTGAAAAATTACTAAATTTCAAGGAGATACAAATTAAATTTATTTTCAAATTCTTTATTTTGGGTCAATATATAAGTGTTTTGAAAAAAAAAAAATGAGGGGGCCAGTTGAAATTTTTAATGAATTTTAGGGACGAAACCTACAAATTAATTAATATTTAGGGGTATAAATAAAGACTTTAAGAAAGTTTGGGAGGCCATGGCCACCCTTAGCTCTGCTCCTATGAAAATAATATAATTAAATCATAAATAGTGACAATTTAAATAAAAACACACACGAAACATGAAAATGAGAGTGCACTTAAAACATTAATCTCACGTGACGTCGTGAACCCTTTCTTCACCTTCCCAATCAATTGCATAGAAGCATTTTTAAGCTTCTTGATGAATCCTACACCTATGGGTTGGGTGTTAGATTAATTGTATCTGCATTGGGCCAACTTTTGGACAACATGGATTTTGGGCCCAAAATGTGGGCGCTTTGTTTGATTTTTTCCTGGCATTTGGGCTAATGGCCCATGATGCTATCCCTTGTATACATGTAAATAATTTTCAATTAATTTTAGTCTTCTTACTTATAAAAAAAAAATTAAAAAATAAATAAAAAGCATTTAATCTTACAAACGGGTTAGAAATGAAAAGAAAAAAAAATATAGCAGTAACCTTTATTCATGTTTGGATAAATTATGAAAAAAATTAAAAAAAAAAAAATAATATTATTCTTATTTGAAAAAGATAGTGGAGAGAAAAGAAAAAAATATTAATAAGAATTAAATTGTTTTCATAACTTTTTTATAAAATCTTATAAGATGAAAGTTAAATATTATATGAGAATAGTTTTGAAATTATAAAAATATTATTTATTCACTATTCTTTTCCTCCAAATCTTCTTATTTTTGGAAGGAGCTATCCTCCAAATCTCTTTTAATCCTTTAGTTTCCCTCTACTAAAAAAGTATCCAAACTTAATTTTCTGTCTATCCAAATCTGTCCCAATCCTTTCGTTTCTCTCTACTAAAAAGGTATCCAAACATACTTTTCTGTCCCTTCAAATCTCTCGCAATCTTTTCTTTCCTCTGTGCTAAAATAAAGTATCCAAACATAATTTTTACTGCCTTTCTTTTGCCTTCCAAATCCTTTTATCCAAACGATGCCAAAAGGTGATGCTAACACCCATGTATTTCGAATTACTTCTAACACCTAGCCAAATGCTTCCAAACGCCGGTACAGGGGATTAGTCTTAACCTTGTCATAAGCACCGAACCCTATATGGCCGTTGGCCAAATTTCTTTGGTTTTCACATTTCCAACGTCTCTTATGTGTGCTTCCCAGCTTTGTGAACTCCGCTAACTTCAGCACACACACGCACACCACAAATATATACACAAACACACTTTCTATGCATGCCCTCTTCCATCTTCCACCGATTACGATTCAATCCCTATTCCTCTCTCTTCCTGACTCTCTCCCCACCGTCTGATTCGATCACCACAATGACTTCTTCACTCTCACTCCCTTCCATTTCTGCCAAGAGGGTCGTATTCAACACTCCAGAGTCCTCCAGGAGCTCAAATCTATTGGGTGTCAAGCATGGAATTCGAAGCTTTAGACCCAGAAATTTGGACAAATGTAGGGTTTATATGGGCGTTTCTGTTGGATCTCGAGCCTCTGTCGATGATGCCTTGTTCTCCGATTATAAGCCAAGCTGTGCTTTTCTCTTCCCTGGCCAGGTAAGAGTTGATCATCTCTAATTCTGATTCCAATGCTTTTGATTTATGATTAATAGAGGAGAATTGTGGCTACTGTGCTTTGTATTGATTCAATTGGCTTTTTGATATGAATTGCTGCATAATCAGTGAAGAAAGATAGCAATTTTGATTTAATTTTAAAAAAATCCGAGTTTTTGCTAGGATTATCAAATAATTGATGCATTTAGTTTGCCTACCGAGGGAAAGCAAAAGAATGAGTTAATTAAGTAATGCTACTAGTAATTATTAAATAATTGATGCATTTAGTTTTTTTACTGAGGGAAAGTAAAAGAATGAGTAAATTAAAATTTGATTTTTGATATGAATTTCTGCATTATCTGTGAAGGGAGATTGCACTTTGATTTTTCTTTTATATATATATATTTGAGTTCTGCTAGAATTTTTAAATAATTGATGCATTGTTTGCCTACCTAGGGAAAGTAAAAGAATGAGGTAATTAAGTAATGCTGCTTAGTAGTAGACTGAAAACTAAATCATATAAAATCAGCTTGCTTTGATTTGTAGATGCTTAGTTAAAAAAAAAAAAAAAAATTTGGTAAATTGCTTTGCATGTTTAGATTGGCATACATGGCATAAGTAAAATTAGATAAATTCATTTCAAATTTTATGTATAGTGCAATTTGATGATGTATGAATCTGACGTTTAAAAGTAATTTCTTTTAGGAATTTTTTAATGTTATACTTATACTTTAAATATTAATTTCCTTGGTCACACCATTAGGACCATCATATGTGTCTTTGTTGCATTAGTAAGCATCATATGGAGACAACGGCCTTCACTAAATTGTTTAACTCTCCCCATACTAGTAGCCTCCCCAGCCATCGGTACTCAGAAACAGATGAATGTGGTCTACCTAGAATTTTTACCAGCAAGTTACTTGGTTTCTTTGGTATCCTTTTTTTTTTTTTTAACAGCTTATCATCATAATGCTGTGATTTGCTAAACCATGATTGTCACTATGTATAAATGCCATCATGCTAATAATTGTGACACATCATTACGATTGACATTTCATCATGATATCTTACCATCATTATTGTCAATGTTTCCACTACTTACAAATTTGAGATCATCAACATGACTTCCCCCGTTACTGGTCAATGGTCCTTAACAACAAATATAATTGTACTATCATCCAATAATACTAGTTATTACCAAGACAATCACATTTTGTAACGCGTCCATGATCAATGTTGCAATTTCTCTATGCAAGAGCGGGAAAAGAAGTATTGTCTCAGATCCTAATATTGTAGAATGTCTTCATGCAAATAAGTAAATTTTCTTCATTAGGTTGTGTCATTGAATCTTTTTCTCCAAATCCACAAGGGACTTCTACAGTCCCCATACGGTACTTGTTTTAGTAGTTCATTCAGATAGAAATTTCAACCATTTGTTTAATACAAGTAAGTTCATAGCTGTTGAGCTGTAAAACACAGATTATATGCATTGAAAAAGTGAATTTGTAAGCTTCCCTAGACTATGAATTTGTAGAATGGCAGATTCTTTAAGTGTTAGACTAATCTTCAATTAGTTTATTTGTATAACAAGTAATTAAATGGCTATAGATTCCCAAAATATGCAAGTAACCTAATTGCATTTAGTAATTGAATCTTGCTAATCCTCTGTTTCTTCAGAGGATCTGTATCTTTGACATAAAATCATTTGATGATGCTTCTGGCTATCAATTCTGGATTATGCTTACTTATATATATATATATATATATATATATATGTTGTTGTTGTGTTGTAGGGTGCACAAGCTGTTGGAATGGGTAAGGAAGCTCAAAATGTGCCTGCTGCTGCAAACTTGTTTATGAAAGCAAATGACATTCTTGGGTAGGCTCAATATATATTTGTGTCATTTTGACGCCTTCTATTATACATGTTGATTCTGACTAGAATGCCAACTTTATGCTCAGCTTGGCATTATCTTTTTAAGCTCGACTTGTGCCCAGAAGCTTATATAAGTAACATAATGCTTCTCTTTAATGAAGGTTTGACCTTTTGGATGTGTGCATTAATGGACCAAAAGAAAAGTTAGACTCAACAGTTTTGAGTCAGGTATGGTGCTGTAATACTGTTTCTGAGTTATTTGTTTCTTCTTTTTCTTTCTTTTGGCGGGCTATTGCTTTCACTTTTTCTTATTTTGGTAATTCTTTTTGCTGCTGCTGTTGTTGTTGTTGTTTCACTTCTAAAGCGGGACAAGTTGTTGAAGTATCATACATTTGATTGTAGATTCTATTTATCAATACTAAAGGCCCCACTTGTCATAATAGCCAGTTGGTTTATTTTTGGAATTCCATAATGTAACTCTATTTAGATGGTCCAGGAAGCTTTTCTTGTTTAAGATGGAGACCAAACAACATAAGTAATTAGTTTCCTTTTCTTCTTTACTCCTTTTGTTATTACTATTATTTTTATTTTTTCCCCACTGCTCCAAATTAATGTTTGTCCATGTTTGTCTTTCATGGAGTAAAAGGATGGTTTTGACCTAGTTGAGTCATAGACGCAGCCAAACGTTATTAATGATGTAGCATTGTGCAATTGTTGTTACATTGTTTGTATTCTATGAAATTTCCAGACTAGTATTCAGTTCTGCATTTTTGCAGCCGGCAATCTATGTCACAAGCCTAGCTGCAGTTGAGGTACTTCGTGCTCACGATGGTGGACAGCAGATAATTGATACTGTAGATGTCACATGTGGTCTAAGCTTGGGAGAATATACTGCTCTTGCATTCGCTGGAGCTTTTAGGTGAGACATATTTTAGTGACATCAGTTTTGTTGTTTGTTTTGGTGGTGTTGATGATGGCAGCATATGGGGACTTTGACAAAGTTGCGCCTTTGAACTTTACATAATCATGAGAACATGCTTCTTTTCTGTACCATAATTTTCAACTTCCTTTTGAGCCCAACACTTGATAAGTGGACTAAGGCTGCTAGATAGTTTGAATGGAGAACTTACAAGGGCATGCAAGCTACCTATGAGCTTCCCCTGAAGTTAAATCCTTTTTTACAGCTAAGGACTAGGGTCAAAGGATGTATCTGTAACCCATTCCGCTTTGGCTGGTTTAGCACCAACACTAAACCAGACCTATTGGTCCAATTCATTATACAGCACTGGAACCAAAATGAAACTAACACATGGGAAGTTTGGTCTGGTTTGGGTTGGTTCAATTTAGGAAGAGGTTTTTTTTCCTTCATATAAGTTATTTTTTATAAATATTGTGGAAAGTTCACAAGCCTATTCCTTTTTTTTTTTTTTTCCAATTTTTCCTTCTTGGTGGATCACTCAACTAAGCAATGGAAATGAGTAAGACAAGTCCAGCAAAATATTAATATCTTCGTTCTGTAACAAGTGTCGCCCCTTCAATTTTATAAAATTAATCCAAAAAAAAATAAAAAATTACTCTATAAGGACAATTTGTAGAATTTGAAAGAAAAGTGGATATTTGGAACATAAAAAAAATATAATAATAAAATAAAAAATAATAGGATTAAGTGCAAAAAAAACCCCTCACTATATATCAGATGTGCAAAAAAAACCCTATTAGAAAAAAAGTGCATATAACTCCCTGTACTATCCATCGTCTGAGCAAATTGCCCCCGATCATCAATTTTGACCAATTCTTTTTATAAAAATCCCAAAATACCCTATGTTGTCTCTATCCACATTCTCTCTCTACAATAACTCTAGTGACGGCTAGCTAACGTGTCATCCATCTTCTCTGGGTTGAACTTCAGACCCATCATCACGACCAAGAAGTTTCAAGCGCCTGCGAAACCAAGTTCATACATCCCGGCAAGCTTCACTTCGGCGACATCAAGCTCACGCCAGCGAAACCTAGTTCAAGCTTCACTTCGGCAAGCTTCACCGTTCTATTTGGCAACCATCAACTCCGGTGAGCCAACTTCACACCCAGCAGCTCCGAGAAAGCTTCAACTACACGAGCCACATTCATCCGTTCTGGTGAGTTTTTAACAAACCCATTTTGAAGCTGTCCAAGCCTTTTCAAAGCAATGAATGGTAGCAAGCAGAGAAGATTCTCTACTTGCTGGTTCCTACCACTTCACTGCTTGTTACTTCTCTCTAGCACATGTTCAAGCTTGGTTTCCTATAATATTCACAGCCTAGAGAAATACTCTTCTATGTGTGTGTGTATGAATGTATCACTTAGATATATGAATGATCAGCTCTCTGTGATTCTTTTAGATGGAATACGCACTAGCTCCCACTCTTTTTCTTCATACACACATCACTCACCAGTTGAGCATGTCGGTTGGGTGAAGTGATACAACTCTGTTCTCGGCTTGTGTCTCTCATTTTGGGTCTGTCTGAAGGCTATATATGTATATCTTTATAATTGTATCACTGAACCATTTTTCAGTCATGGTTCAGTCAAAGGTTACCGGAACCATTTTTGAATCAAGCATCATCAGTTGGGTCTTCATTGCGTCACCAATATGACCAGAGGTGGAGCTTGCCGTCGGGTGTATCACAGCTTACCGGGCGTGGAGTTTGCCGTCAGGTTAGACCAAGCTCACCGAAATCATGCATGGATGAACGGAAAAAATGTTGCTGGGAAGAGCAGGATCAGAAAATGAAACGGGGGAGAAATGGAGGAGAGAGAAAAAAACATTTTGTTTATTAATTATTATTTTTTATTTCTTTTACGGGGGTATTTTAGATATTTCAATTGCGAAATTGACCTAATGCCCTTTTTTGCACAAATTAAAACAATAGGGGGTTTCTTGCACATCTTTGTATATAATGAGGGAGTTTTTTGCACTTAACCCAAAACAATAATAAGGAAAGAAAGAAAGAAAGCAGCGACAGCTATTGTGGGATGGGGGGAGTACTTCTAAGATTACATATTTAATTTGATAGAACACCTTCTGGCAATGTGACATACATCATGTTTTTAAATAATTTGCCAAGTTAGAATGATACACCCTCATACTTATCCAAAAAATAAATAAATAAAATAAATAAATAAATAAAAAGAATGATACACCCTCATCCTTTGAATGACATGCAAAGGCCCTAAAGTTATTTTATTTATCTAATCATCTCTTTAGTTTTAGGGTGCCAGCAGCATTGTTTTTTATTTAAAGTTATAATTTCATGTTTGAGCCAATCATTAGTATTATTCATGAGGAGTAAAGTTCTATTTACTAGCTTTTTAAGGTCTTATGCTTTACATTTTTATATAAACATATAACGTTGGATCACCATGCTCACTTCCTTGTATGCTCTCCACCACACTTTTATGGACTCGGGGTTGAAATGTGTTGAAATTGATTCAATGCTGTACAAAAGTATGTGATACAAATATTTACCCCCAAAAAATAATTGTGATACAAATGTGGATATATTCATTTTGCATACCTTTTGGGGTTGGTTTGGTAAAGGCATCGCCTTTACTCAAAACCAGAATCAATTGGTTTTCCTTTTTCTTGAACCAAGATCAAAATTAAACCAATAGTGATAAATGCTTTGTTTAATTCTTGTTTTGCACCAAAGCAACGTGCACCTCTACCAGGCGTTTTAACTAACTGCCCAAATGTACTTTGCAACGGTATTTGGGTGATGTTTGGAGATGCAGCCTTAGAATTAGCCCACTAATTGCACCTTTTAGATATTACCTTCCATGTTTAGTGCATGGATCAGAGGAGGCATCACCTGGTGCACCATAACCACCACCACCACCACCACCACCACCGCCACCATCATCATTATTTCATTATTCAGATTTCGGAGTTACAATTGGTGATTTAATATGTATAGTCTATATGTTATGTGATGGTAATTCTTGTTCCTGATGTTTTTAATTCTTTGTCATTCACTATTTCCTTGTTTTGATATATATTATTTGTATTCCTTTTATTAGCTTTGAAGATGGACTCAAGCTGGTCAAACTTAGGGGTGAAGCCATGCAGGTAACAGCCCATATTTGGCTTATGGTTTTCTTAGCTATATGTCCTTTGGAAACTAAAATTTTGGTAACTATTTTTCTATTGCCTGCAGGAAGCTGCCGATGCTGCTAAAAGTGCCATGGTCAGTATCATAGGATTGGATTCAGAGAAGGTCCAACTGCTGTGTGATGCAGCCAATGAAGATGTTGATGAAGCTAATAAAGTTCAGATTGCAAATTTCCTATGCCCTGTACGGTTCCTGCAAATGTCATTTTTATTCAGTAAACTTTGCATGTCATTTCCTAATTTGATTACCTTGAAAAAAAAAAAAAAAAAATCTATATATATATTTAACCTTGACATGGAAAAAATATTTCTTCTTTGTTAGGGTAATTATGCAGTCTCTGGAGGTGTGAAAGGAGTGGAAGCAGTAGAAGCAAAGGCAAAATCATTCAAGGCTCGAATGACGGTAATGTTCTCCATAATTTTCACTTGTCTGATTCCATGTTTACACCTTCTTTTGACATTCTTTTTGCTTCTCAGGTCCGTCTAGCGGTTGCTGGCGCTTTCCACACTAGTTTCATGGAACCAGCTGTGTCAAGATTGGAAGCTGCATTGGCAGCAACAGAAATCAGAACTCCAAGAATACCAGTTATATCCAATGTTGATGCGCAACCACATGCGGATCCTGACAGAATCAAACAAATATTGGCACGCCAGGTAAGCTAACTCCTGTTTTCCGTTATGAGTAGGAAAATATTATTTGAAAACATTAACCTTGAAATCACAGGTGACTTCTCCTGTTCAATGGGAGACGACAATAAAGACTCTCCTAACCAAAGGGCTGAAGAAAAGCTATGAATTAGGACCTGGAAAGGTAAAATTTACTAAAATTTTCGGATATTCTCTTGCTTAACCTGCAACACAGAAAAGCTAGTCGTAGTCTTATAACTTAGGTTTGTAAGCTTTTTCATCCATCCTGCTGTTGTTATTGATTATATATCAGGTTATAGCTGGCATTGTCAAGAGAATGGACAAAACTGCTGAGCTTGAGAATATCAGTGCTTAAAAGGGGGGAGAGTTAACAGACGTTGCTTCACCAGTGCCGTCCCAGTGAACCCTTTGTTGCATGGTGCAGGGACAATCATTTAGAACTTGATTTTTAAGGGTTAATGACTAGTTGAAGAGTTGTTCATCTGTATTGCAAACTTAAATTTTGAAAATAAAGGTCGTTAATTTGTATCAATTATTATATTTGAATTGATGTTATGCATAAGAGTTTCTAAGATTGTTCTCAGATCTGGTGCCAACATTTTTAGATTGCTGCATTGTGTGAAATTCAAAGCAGATTACTTCTCACTTGCCGTGAGTTGTTGGCTCATGTACTTGTGTTCTCGATTTAAAGTTGGTGTATTAACTAAGTTATTGCGTTGATTTAAAAGTGGTTGCGTTGTCGATTTACACGCAATGGATGACATGACCTAGTTCTACACCTATCAAAGTGCATCTTGTTATGATCAGTTGTGATATTTGAGGTGTTGCAAGAAAAAAAATTCTCTTAAACTATATTTTTATTGTATTTAACCCCAACAGGTTGACCATGTTTACACTGATTAAAAGTACTCCGTTTTGAACTTGATACATTAATTTGCTGACGTGGAGAGTGAAACTTGATACATTAATTTGCTGACGTGGAAAGTGGAAGGTTACTTTTATTAATATAATGAGAATTTAGTCGGATCCAACAAGAAATCAGACCCATGAATTTATGTGACTTGTGTAGTGATGTATAATTTATTCATGAAAGTTTTTCTCTAACCAGTTTGAACCCCTAACCTCGGAGCTTGCAATTGATTTTCGAGGGTTTCGAGTGGGACAACATAAATTTGAGAGAGAAGTGAGAGATAGCAGATAGAGATATAGAGAGAGAGAGAGCTTGTAGAGAATGTGTGTGCGCAACTTGAACAAATAAATGGGTCTGGCTTAAGGAGTGAGAAGGCTCAATCCACTGCTCAGTCTTCCTCTGTCTCTACATTCTTTCTCTAGTACAGGGGTTGAAGCGACGTCACTTTCTGGTACTGAATTGAAGTGATTTTAGGGTCTAGACTTTGATTTCTTATGATTTGAAGGAATCAAAGAAAGAGCTGATTTCTTATTTTTTGTATACCAATGTTTGAAAAAAATTCTCGTGAAAACCTGGTTGATCAGAGGGGAGAGATACAGATACATTTTTATACGTACATACATATATATAATTATATATATACATACCAGACTATCCAATACATGAGCAAGGTATATAATATATAAACAGAGAGAGGAGATGCAGAGCCAATCCATGACACTGGAAATCGTTCACCTGAACACCGATTTCACAAACTCCCACCTTGACCATGACTCATGAAAAGGTCTACGGTATACCAGCGGCGACACGGAGGATGAGAGGCGTCGGGGTTGTTGGGGGTTAAAGAACAAAATATATATGTGTGTGTGTGTGTGTGTGTGTGTTTATGTGTGTTTATATGCGTAAGGTGGTGGCGATGTTGGTGGCGGGAGTGGGGTGGTGGCAGTGGGTTTGACCGTGTATGGTTTAGTATTAATTGTTTGAGTTTAGAGAAGGCTGTGTACGTGGTTGTTGGGGTTGTGGTGATGGTGGTGGCGGAAGTGGGTGGTGGCAGTGGGTTTGTGGGACGGTTGGTTTGGTGGTGTGAGGTCTGGCCGGCGTTGCCGCTCACGGCGGAGAGAGACGTCCTGGTTCAGTCGCCAAGAGATTATGCGTGTTAGGGCGTGTTTGGTTATGTGGTACAAGTGTATTATTGTCTTTTAACATTTTAAAGGCCATTATTGTCCAATAATTTTATATTGTAAGTCATGTGACACTCACGTTCTTTAATTCCGGTTATATTTGAATGGGTAAAGCGATATGTGTGTGTATATATATATATATATATAATTAATTATGTTTGAGTTTACAAATAACCATTTTAAACTATAAGATTATATATTATATTTCATTAAATGATCATAATGTCCATTCTTATTGAATTACATTTCATATATATTTTTTTATCTAAATAAATTATGAAAAAATTCATACTAATTTGATAAAATATTTTCTATTAAATTTGTATTTTAATTAATTATTTAAATTAAAAAATTAATTTTTTAATTTTTAATAAATATATTACATGAAAAGAAGGTATTTTTTTCAAAAGGATTTTATTAGTTTTTCATCAATATATTGTATGAAAAATATGATTTTTTTTTTTTTTTACAATAAAAATATTTAAATTGGTTATGATATGTTTTATTATAAATAATAAAATTTTAATTATAAGTTAATCAATTTAAAAAATGGTTGTTACAAATCTATTTATCTATTTTTTATGATAAAATAAAATTAAGGTAAATAGTATAATTAATATTTACATAAAAAAAAAAAAAGATAATAAAAATAATTTAATAAGAAGTGAGAATTTTAATAAGAAAGAGTAAAATAATCTTTTGTGATGAATTTGTTCTTAATTATAATAAATTAATAATTTAGGGAACGATTTTTAATTCAAAGATTATTTACAAAAAAGCAATAATTTAGCCAAATTTTTTACACTTAACCCTATTCGAAAGGAAGTTAGCCGGATGAGTGCAACAAAAAAACACATATAAAAATGTTTTTTCAACTTTTGAGGTTTCTTGCACGTACCTCAATAGTTGCATTTTACTTTACTTTTGTTTTACTAGGCACACGTGCACACGTCTGCCTATCTATCTATCTATCTATCACCACAAAGAGATTAGGACAAAGAGAATTTAAGTGCAAAAATACGTCTGACTTAGAAAAGTCAAAGAAGTCCAATTGAATTAGGACTATGTATTGCTTGTCCCTCAAATTTATACCGATACAATTGAATTAGAAATATAATTAGGACTACGGTTCCTTCTCCATGCTGAATTATGGTTGATCACGGGCCGGGTTGCGTGCATGATGATGGGCCGGTATGTGCAAATGTGTCCAAGAATTCCCCAACCGCACCGGACCACTGTCATACTATACTGGGCCTTGGTGTTTGGCCTTGGCTTAGCGGTCATTTGAGTATTCAATTCCTTCTTTTGTGGTCCTACGCTCTGATAGGGCATGCTTCTATTGAAGGGAGGATTTTTACCTCCACACAAACTTATCAAATTGGTGATTGACTAAATACCTTTTCATTGAATTTATTTACAAGGTGCCTCCACCGCATGTTGAAGGCGACAAAAATTTTATTCTCCGTTTCAAATGAGTCACAGTTGTCAAAGTACTGAATATTTTAGGACGAAATGAATGATTGATAAGAGAGAGGACCTTGCTTGTTGGAAGAATTCCAGAGGTACCGGGACCCTCTTCCCTCTTGATATCTTTCCCCTGCTTCATGCAGATTGAAAAATCATTCTAAATATTCTTTTCAAAATGTTCCATCAATAAGAAAAAGAAATTTAACTTCACCACCTTAATCCATTAACACTAGCAAAACAAAGGAGGATTTTCTGTTGTAATGAATTTCAATATCATCTCGGAACCCCCAGGAGGATTTCATACATGGAGAAATGGTTTGGGAAAGTTTTTACAAAATTATAAGCATAGAAACTGCTAGCATTCAGTAATTAGATTATTAAAATTGTCAACAATTCCAAATGAATGAATAAACTCCAACAGTACTTACAATAAATATTCCTAGTCCTCAAAATTCTAGTAACAGATCAAAAATTTCCGATACAAATTATAACCCCATATCATCATGAAACCCCGAAACAGAAGTCCAAATGCATGAGGATGGTCGGACAAGGGTTTCATGAAACACATTCCGGAAATTCTAAAAAATAAAAATAATACTACAATACATATAACTTGATTCTACTCTGACCGACGAGTTTGCATCCTCAAGCCGATCAGAAACTGCTGTTGCAGCCTTAAAAGATGCTTGATCCGTCTTTCTCACTCTCCTGTCGCGTATAAATTTCTCATCAATCATAGAGTCATCCCTCAATACAACAGTGGAAAATTGGGTGTCCTTTTCTTCATTACCCCTCAAGTCACTGTGCTACTGTCGCTACCACTGTTTAGCTCTTGGAAGAAGGATTTTGCAGCTTCATATGTTGACCAACAGATTGCAGCGGCAGGAGCATGGAAGAGCATCCGTGGCTTCCATCCTCTCATAAGCCCGATATATCCATCCTTTTTCACAATAGTTCGAATAACGTCCCTAATTGAACTGTTTTGAAATCTGTCACATCCACAGACACCCTGTAAAGCTAATAGATTAGAAACAAATATATGATCAAATAGCACAATCAAAAAATAAGACATACAAAAATGAAAAAGAAACCACTGCTAATAGTGTTCTATAACTTTAAAAAGAATTCAGATGTAAGATACAATTGAACAAGTTTGGTGCAAATGTTAAATTTAGTTGTTGGAATATAACGTTCAATTAAAACATCATATTGACTGTATAATGCAGAATAAGACATATCTCTAGCCAACAAGAGCAATAATGTACTTTTGAATTGAATTTTAAACCAGTGTGGCACTGCTGGATGCTTCTGATCAATAGAAATGGAAGAGTCCAAAAAAAAAAAAAAAAAGGGAAGATAAAAGAAGAAGAATTAGACACAAGGGACGAAAAATAGGTGGGCACGAAGCATATAGCTCTTCATGACAAAGTTTCTCTTCTTGCTAACCCTAAAGGTGTGACCTTAATTTCATAACACTGGCAAATCAAGCTATTCCACAATTCTCATCTTGTGCATTCTCATTTAAAGTCCATGCTTGGCAAACACAAGATATGACAAACAAGCACCTCCATCTGATTTCCTTACAATGACAAATTACATTAGACTTCCAATTTATTTATCTAGTGAATTTGAAGTAGAAGGCCCAGCTTACTGTTACCCCTAAGAATTCCATATGTCGATTTACCTCTGACGACATACTTACGCTTGGAACAACTTTGGACCACAAAGACATTTGCTGTTCCCATTAACTAACCACTCCTTGCAATCTGCCTAATTCAACATTGACAACAGAAACTCCAATCCATCAGCAAGGTTATTTGTTGCAATTGACATACCATAAATGTACAGATTATACACGTGTAGGTAGTTTAGGTTATTTGTTCCAACTCTAAATGATTAGGATTTTTTTTATACGCTATGTACAGAATATATATGTGTAGAACTTTGAACTAGGGTTGTAAAGAGGCAACAAAAATTTTTGGTTGAGGAAGAAAAACCAGCCGACCACCACTCTATCTTATTTCTTGCTCATCTTGGCTCTGTAATCACTAAAGCTTCAAAGATTATCTTGCAACCTTCCTCCTGGAATTCCACTTCTCATTCTCATTCTACATTTCCTCTTCTCCTTTCTCTGTTCTGTGACTTCTTTTAAAGAAAGCCTATAGGAGTTCAGCATCAATTTTGGTCATAGAGCACGTTCTTACGTTCAAGAGAAAAACTTACTTTATCATCTACATGGAGGAGACATTATATCTTTTGTTAAAAAAGTTGAAATCCAAAAGTTGGGAAAAATATTCTGGAGACTATCCGCCATAATTGATAAATATTGAAAGAACATATATTTAGTCAAAATCCTAGAGAGAATCATTAAGATTGATTGTTAAGACAACTGAAGTGGCCAAGGAGGTATCTAAAAATGCACGCAATAAATCTCCAACTTATATTTAATCAAAACCCTTGTGCAAATCATGAATATTGATTGTTAAGACAACTTAAGTGACTGAGGAGGTATCTGAAAAGGCACGTACTAACTTCAACTTGATGACATTCTATAAAGTAGTAGTTAATACATATTTGGTTCAATTTTCAGACCGAGTTACTTCATGTTTCCAGTAACAATTGAAAAAAAAAAAAAAAAAAAAAAATCCAAACTACATATTTTAAGAACCTATTAGCATCTTTGACTAAAAACAAAAAAACTGAGAATAAAAAACATCATTATAATGTTTTAAGAAGTTCAAAATAGTTTTCAAGCATAACAAACTAAAAAATATATTTAAACTTGTGCTCAAGAACTGGATAGTATTTTCAAAGAGCTGCACATAATATGTGTTTTTCTTTCAGTAACATTTTAATCTAGGAGCTTTCATTTACATTTTTATGCTTTTGAATATTTTCAGGGTATCTCTTTATAGAAATTTCCACAGTAGCTAACGTCCAATTTAGAAGGTACCAAGTCCTAAGGTGATCCAATGTAACTATGGCTCGGGGTCTCTTTTTCTTTCGGAGGAAAACAAAAGTTATTGAATCCTTAATCCCTATCCATCCTTTTAAAAGCAATGCTCACCATTCTGCCGCAGTCCTGAAACAGCTTTGGCAGTATTAGGTGTTATCAATATGTTAAAATATATTTAGCATTGAGACTTATCAATATATATATATATATATATATATATATATATATATATATATATTTAGCATTGAGAAATAAGCCCATACAAGGGTGACAAGTTACCCGCTCCCTCCCTCATATTCATCTTATAACCAAGAGGCCTAGAAGGCCTCCCTCCCACCAATAAATTCCCTTTCATGGGAGGGAGGGATGTCTTCTAGGTTCTCTCTCTCTGTCTCTGTCTCTGTCTCTCTCCCCTCTTGTAACCAAGAGGCCTAGAAGATATCCCTCCCTCCCATTGATTCCCTCTTTTTCTTAATAAATTATTCACCAATTTTTTTGATAATTAACCCTCAACAAGGACTAATAGATACAGAATCCGCCTTCTCTTTAATAAAGTCACATTTTATATTTCCAAAAACAAAAGACAGGCTGTGAAGAAGCTCCTTCAGAATTTGAACCATACTATTTAGAACAAGGCCATAAATGACCAAAATCTTCTAATAAGTAAATCATATACTAACCAAGTTCATATCATTTTCTATAAAGACCCAAGCCTGAAAGGTCCATAGTATCAAAGACTTCCTAGAAGAAACAACGGTTAACAAATTTCTTAATCAGCTTCACGCCACAATATGTCATCTGTTGCAACCAGTATGTGGTCTATTAAATTCTATATTCTTATCATTCTGAAATAAAAAAGGACGTAATATTATTCCAGCAAATGGATGAGTATTTCTAAGGACTTTGCTGCACATCCTTCCATTAGAATAGAAGGGACTTCAAAGCAGGGATACATAACACAAATATGACACAATATGGATATGTTGAAAGGTTATCCTCAAAATATTAGGACAAAGGCACGATGAGGATGGAACAAATGACTCACATGTGAGTCAAAGTTTCCAAAAAGAGACATTTTTTTTGGTACAGGGAGAGTATATAATTACATATATGATATGTTAGTATGGAGCATGGTTGGCAAATTTCCAACACAAACTTAGGGTTGTAAGTTTGAACAAAATGTCTTGCTACCATAAAAAGAAAAAAAGAAGATGATGGAGATGAAGAACAACAAAGAACAAATAAAAAATCTCCTAAGCTTAACCAGACATCTAGATTAAGGTAAGATGAGATCTCAATGACCATCTATGACACAGGTTTGATCTTTAGAAGGTTTAACCGGCTAAGACCAAAAACATTGATCAAAATTATAGGGATCTCCCTTGTGTATTTAGAAATTACACTGCATTCCCGTGTCAGAGCTTGTAGGTTAATTACGTAGATGAAATTTTTTAATTTACCGTTTAACCCTCGCATTTAGATATCGTATTTTAGGTTGTTTAAGCACACTTTGTGAAATGATTCCTTCACCCCCTCATTAATCCAAATTTTCTTTGGTGTACCCTGTATATAACCCTAGAGGTACGTAACATATTATATATATAAAGACAAATATATCAGTCAATACACCCAAATCTTGAAAACCCATTAACCACCTTCCCCTCTATCTACTATCACCGCCACTATGATAGCCATTTGCCGCCAGCACTAAGCCACCACCGGCACCTAATACAGATTAAAGCACTCCAATCCCTCAACATCCCAATCTCAAAAGACCGCCCTCAATGTCCCAAATTCCAAAGACGGTTTCACTCAATTTTCTGTCCAGAAAACCAACATTTGTGGTGCCTCAAAATCCTTCTGCCACCTCCTATCCCTCCGCCTCAAAAACTGTTTTGATGACATTGAGATATCTACCACTAAAATTCTCTTTTAGCCGTCACCAGTCTCAAGTTCATCGTCCCATCACCCCTGTCCACTTCCCCTCCTAACTCACCTTAAATATCCTCTCCTGCACATGCATCAACAGAGAAACATCCAGAACTTGAGTATTAGATATAGCTAGCCACTATTAGTGGTTCACTTCTTTGTTAATGTGGGTATATATACTAAGTATAGCAAATGTTCATATCAGTGGTTCACTTCCTTGATGTGGAAATAAAATTATTGATAACAATGTCTACATTTTTGTATATTATATATATTCATATATACATACACACATATACGCATGTGTATCTAAGGATGCCTAAATGAAGAAAGAGATGCTTTACCTACACATAAAATATTAATGATACTTATCAAAAAAGACAAAGAAAAAAAAAAAAAAAAAAAAAAAAAAAAAAAAAAAAAAGATAAATTTATTTCTTATTGCAAATTAGTGAAGTTGTTAAATTTTTATTTTATTTTTTTGCAATTTATAATTTTTTATATATATAAGAGAGACAAAGAGTAAGTAACAGAAAATAAAAATCAAATACATATTTACTTGTGAAATGTAATGAAATCAAAATATAATGAAAATTCAAATGAAATTAACATTTTAGAAAATTGGTAAAGGTGTAGGGTAAAGAAATAGATATTATCAAGGACAATTTTTAGTTGAAGGGTGGAATTTTGTCCTATAATGAAAAGCTTGGGCACTTATAAAAAAACTAATAATAATAATAAAAAGCTTGAGCAGTGCTTAATCTTTTTACTTCTTCCTAGGGAAAAACAGGCATGCTAAATTGTTTGGATGTTGACAGTCAAACCATTTGGCCATCACGGTGGGGGTAAGTGTAAAACTTTATGGGATGACGGTGTAATTTTTTAAAACACAGGAATATGTTGTATTTTAAGAGTTTGGGAGGGGAGGCCAGTGTAATTATTCCAATTTTTTATAAAAGTCTCTAAAAACATAATTTTAAAATGTTTTATTTTCCTATTCCACATAGGACATTTATGTTAGCTATAGATATGGAGTTATAGTCAGTCGAAGGTATCTCTTGCTCTCTACACATTATTGAGAGAATTCACATCTTCCAGAGAGAAAACTTTAAGGGTTTTCATAGTACACCATACTCAAAGCAAGGAGCACATAAGAGACTATTAAATAAAGAATTGACCAAAATGATTTGTAAAGAACAAGGATTTGAACAACCATAGGGAGCCAGCTTGTGGGTGATCAAGTTTATTGACCAACAGTGGAAGAGATCGTGGAAAAAAGTCTATTGTGAGTCTGGATCAGAGTAATTGGGGGATTATTGGAGTTAAAGAGTATGGTAACCTAATTGTAAACCATTCTCTATAGTGAACTATTCATGAACTAATGGACGCAAAGGATGGCTTTGGATAAAAGAGTGGGTTCCTCTATTCGGAACATCTAGCAAATTAGATAGAATTTTAATCTGTCAACATGATAATATTTTCATTTCATAGTAAAAAAAAAAAAAGTTATTACTTTAATGTTTTCCCTCTTCTTCTTTTAAATTACATAACCCCCCACGTGTCACTCACATGCCCTCCAGGGCCTCCACATGTCCAACATGATTCTGATTCAAATTAACAAAAAAAGACTGGACACATTTTGCGCTTGTCTGATATATATTAGTATGTTTAGTTTGTGTCTTAACACTTACCCAAACAAGATTTTGTGCTCTGCTCATATCGGACACCACTACTACTACTACTACATAGGCATGTCAATGCTTCCTATACTACCATGATCTAAGCCAAGTAAAATAAAATAAGCTGCCATAGAGCAGTAAGCCAATGTAATGGATATTTTCTGAAATTTTAAGGCCGCCATTTAAATTGTATATATATTCATTCTTTACAATACAAACAATGAAGCCACAGTAATACTGCCGGATTCAATAAATCATGGTGGAACAGATGCACTTGAAGTATGTTTACTTTGCAGATAACAATGGGGTTGTCCTTGTAAAGTTCAGAACTTGATTTGGTCAAACCAGTCCATTTAAGATATAAATTTTTTTAATTTCATTCTGAAATCAAAGATGTCAATCAAGACTAGATCCATATCCATTCTTATTAGCCTAAACAATAGGCTGTGACACAAAAATCAACTGCAAGAGCAGCTGCTAGAGGGGTCCCTAGTGCCTGCTTGACGCCAGTCTCCTGCATATCCTAGTCATTCCAACACTAGAATTTTGTTTCAGGAAGGTAAAGCAAAGATTTTGAACAACTAACGAAAACAAATTCATACACTCCACTGTTTAGGACTGCACCAATGATGAATTCCATAAAAGATATCACTTTTAAAGTAGCCAACCTATGTTCAGTTAGTATTTAATTTCACAACATTCAAATTCCAACTGCAGACTTACACCAAAAAAATATAAATAAATAAATAAATTTGTAACTGTAGACAAAGTACTAAAATAATTTGACAAAGACGTTGGATAATTCCCACTTCAAATTTTGACCAAAATATGTCTTCTGCAAACATGTTTATTATTTACACAGTTTTCCTATAATAATATATAGTTTGCAATTTACCTTCCGAAAAAAATATATATATAGTTTGCAATTTGCAAGTTAGCAATTGAATATAAAATTATACCTGACATTGCAGCTGAGTCTTGACGACATCGAGTGGCGTTGTCAAAGCAGCTGCCAACGCCCCAGCAGCAGCTCCAGCAGTGGCATGAACAATCAATCGCTCATCATTTGCACTATCTGGCGACACCTCCATCAACCCCCTCTTCACCGCCTCATACGTCGCGAAATGCACCGCCGTGAATGGCGCATTCATCAGCACCGTGGTCCTATACGATGCGTAAAATGCTCCAACTCCCTCTTCCCTCATCACTATCCTAAAGCAATCCATCACCCCCTTGTACGGACTACTCCCCAATTGCAGCCTCTGCTTCACTACATCCATCGGCGTGAACACCGCATCGCTCGCCACCGTAGCAAACACCCCCGACACCGCGTGGGCGGCCGAATTGTTAGGGTTTCCGCCGGAAAACGCCTTCTTGCACATTTCGTACACGGAGAAGTACACGGCGTGGGCCGGACCGGCGCCAAGACCCATCGCGCCGATGCCACGGTAGAGACCGGCAGGGCCTTCGGATTTGAGGATGGAGCGGACGGCGTGACGGAGACCCACTTGCTGAATAGGGCAGGAGACTAGGGCTTGCATGCGGGTCTTGACGGTGTCGACAGGGAACATGGCCATGTGTTCGACCGAACCGGCAATTGAACCAGCGATCATGAACTGCCAGAATTGGAGGCCGTCGTGGGACGGCGAGACGATGATCTCCGGGTGAAAATCGGGGGGTTGTGGGACGGGTAGGAGTTCAGATTTTTGGAATTTGGTGGTTGCTTCGGTGGCCATTGACGCTGCGAAGTTAGGATTCATAAATTAGGTATTCGAGATGGTGTTTGGGTGGAGTTGAGATGGGTTGTTACCATACATGTTATTGGGGTGAGGATAGATATAGAGAAGCATATGATGGAGAGAGGGGGTAGGATTTTGTTGTGTTTTGAAGTTTCTAACTGGTCAAAAAGAAACAAATGTAGAAGAAGTTTCTGTGATGGTGATTGGGGTTCTAGGGTTTGAACAAGGTATGGATTCCAAAAATTAAGGGGATTTACAGAAATAAAGGTTGAAGAATATGGAAAAAAAAAAAAACTTCCTGTAATAATTAATATTAGCGCCTAATTCGTATTTTTATTAGAGAAGGTGAGAGTAAAAGGAAGAATTTTTATATTTTTTTGCAAGGCAATAATGCTAGGGGGTCAGGGGAAGCACTTGTAAACAAAATTTTAAAAAATTATAATAAATAGGTAATTTGAGAAACATTTTTAAACACTTTACATTAATTTAAAAAATAAAAAATTATAATAAATAAATAAATAGATAATTTGAGTTAGATTTTTATAGTAACTCTTTTAAAAAAAATTTATATATCAATTAATAAATAAATACCAAAGTATTAAAATTCTTTACACTTTTAATAATAGTATAGATATTATATACTATTATATTACGATACACATATAGTAGTATATTTATCATAATTTAATGTTATATATAATATGTACCATTAAATATTATATTATATTTGCTTTTCCATCCAACTTTCATATTTATATAAATCTTGATTTTTTTAAAAAAATTATCTCCTAATTTTTTATTTTTAGAATTATATTGTGCATTCATTTATTTGGTTTTCATTAATTTTCATTTTATACAGATTTATTAAAGGGATTTATCTTCTACCACTATGAGAAATAATGTCTAATTTTTTTTTTTCTTTTTTTAATTATTTATGCCTAAATGTTTTTCTTCTTCTTCTTTTTATAAAAAAATATATTCATTTCATGCAACTAATGTGAACTTGGTGATCATCATGAAATTATTATGGAATTGTTTAACATATGCTTCTACAACACAAAATGTTAGAATTTGTGAATGAAAATTGTTTTATCAGTCATCAACAGATGCTTTGGACTGAACATGTGTGATTACTAGTTGATTGTGGGATGAAAAGATGCAATTCAAAATCAATAGACATAACATATTCAATATGGACCATTGTAACATATTGTAGTGAGTGTGTCTAGTTATGAACAGATACATATAAATAGTTATATCTAGTGATGAAGAGACACATATAAATGATTGTATCCACTGATGAAGAGATACATCCAATCCGAAAAAGCACTTCTATTTCTATAAATACCCCATTGGGCTGCCATAATTCGATCGTTCAATTCATTTTCTTCTCTCTCCCTCTTTAGACTTGAACCCAAGCCAAGTGAATTTAAACCATAGGTCAAGTGGTCCAAGCTATTTAAACCCTAATCCAATTTCGTCGAGCCATATTAAGATTGGCACAAACCATTTGGTTCGGATTGCACCCAATTTAGTATTTATATAGTATAGATACATTTTCTAGTCAGAGATAGTATTATACAGAGGAGGTTCACCGTATTCACGAGTTTATAGTGCTGCTACTTGTAAATGTAAACCATTGCATCCTGGGAGACAAGCGCCACAGAGTACGTCATGTAATGACACGGTCATTTTCCTTCCTTTTCTTTTCTCAGATTTTCACGGATATTTTTTTTCCGTTGATCTTTTCCTTTCTGAGTTTGGTTTCTCGCCACTTGGTGTCATCTTGAGTGCTCGGGAATAGTTTCCGAGACTCTTTTCCTTGGATTGACGACCTTTTGTAACACTATTCATTTTTCGTCTTTTTCCCGTTTGTCACTTTGTTGGCACAACCTCACTTTTTGTGTTCGGATTTATTTCCGGTTTTTACATGCATCCACGATATTTAAATTCTATGCCATGTGTATTTTTACTTTCTTAGAAAAGCATGCTAAGTGTATACTTTTCTTGTAAAGGATATGGATGCATAACTTTTTGTAATATTCTTAACTTGTGGAGTTTTAGTGTAATTAAATAAAGTAATTATTTTTCATCTTAGGGACCATTTTGTAATTTAATTTGGAAGATATTTTCAAAAGGGACCTTTTTATAATTTTTGAAAAGTGTGACAAATGTCACACTCTCATTGGTCCACTTGTTGACATTTGTGTAGAGACACTTTGATACCTTGGATGATGACATGTGGAGGGTGGAGATTCAACCATTTATTGACCTAGGATAGGTGTACTTGTTGGCTTGGATGGTTGACAAGTGTAGGCTTAGAATTAAGCCTACAATGGATGTTTGGATGACTGACAAGTGTATGCTCCAAATTAAGTCTTGCAATTATTTTTGGGCCACTTTGGAATTATGTTGTTAAGGAAGGGTTTTTGTACAATTGACCAAACTTGTGTGTGTTGACTTTGGTGTAAGACCACATAGTGAGTGGAGGAATTCTATTTCCTCCACTCACATTCTTTCACACCTGATTTCATCATCCCCCTCTCTTGTAACGAAAACCCTAGCCTCTATGGATGAAGCTTTATAACTTGCTTTTGTATGAAATATAAGTTGTATGCATGTCTTTAGTTAATTTGAGAAATTAATGATTTATCTTAGCTTATACATAACTCATTTTAGACTTGATATATGACATGACCGTGACTTGATCTTTGTTATATATTAATTTAAGATGATTTAAATGAGATTTCAAATCTAGAGATTTAATGAATTTAATTTAATTTAAATTCTAGTTAATTGTGTTTTACTTGTATTTCATTTTAGACTTTATATATGGTATGACCATGATTTAGTACTTGATATATATTAATTTGAGATTATCTAAACAACTTTTGAAATCTAGAGATTTAATTGATTTAAATTAATTAAATTCTATATGATGATATTTTGCTTATCTTGCACTTTTGATTGGATATATGTAATGACCATGCTAAGTTGTTTAACATATATTAATTTGAGGTTATTTGGAATTGATTTGAAATTTAGAGAATTTAATTATTTTGTTTAATTAGATTCTATCTATTGGCTCCATGGATCTATTTGTGTTTTAGAAGTTGTTTCTATATTCAAATCATGGAGTTGGACTTGTTGTGTATTCACTTGGTTGTATCTTGGGCATTTGATAACATTGTTGTTATATTTATATTCATGAGAAAAGAGCATGTGTTTAAAAAAAAAAAATGAAAAATTTCAGCATGAAAAGAAAAGAAAAATCAAAAGAATGCTGAAAATCTTTGCTAAGGAAAAGGCTACCTATTGAGACTAGTTTGAAAGCTCCTACTAGACTTTGAAGATGAGCTATTTGCGTAAAAAGAAAGGAGGAGACAAGTCGAAATAAGGAATTGCTGTCTACTCTTTAAAGTTTGCTTAGAAAAGTTTTCTCAAAACAATCTTATCTTAATGCTTTTCGATCAATATGGTTTGGATAGTTGATCAATATGATTTGATTGGACTTGATAAGATTGGATTGCACACACACACACATATGAATTTGTTAGGCAAATTCTAAATTTTTATAAAAATTGCAAGTTGAATTTCATGTTGTGATTGTATGTTTGAGAATTGATTTGATTGGATAATTTGTGGTGTCTAAAAAATTTCGTGTTTTTAAATTCTCTTAAATTCTTCAGAAATTTTTAGATCTCATGTATGCTTGAAATTCATGGAAATTGCTATCTCATATTTTTTTTGTTCAAATATCAGAAAAAATAAAAAAATAAAAAAAATTGAAAAATGAAAAAAAATCCAAAAAGATTTTCCTTTTAGTTTTCATTAAGAATTTTTTTTTTTTTTTGATGGAGACATCATGTGTGTGATTTTGAGCATATTTGGTCTTATTAATCTTGTGAATGGAGCATGTGTTATCTTGGACACTTGCTATGGTTCCATTGCTACTATATATCATCATGTTTTTTTGCTTATTCCAATATCTTATGCATGGATGATTGCTCCTACATTATTTCTTTTCCTTCTTTGTTGAGCTTTATTTGTCAATTTGTAACAAAAAGGGGGAGAAGTGTGCATCTTTGAGGAGGAGAGTTTCTAGAATTGAGGGGGAGATATATATATATATATATATATATATATATATTCATATATTGATATATGTTGATTGTTTATCTTTCTTGATTAAGCTTCACGGGTAGTTTTGTTGAGCTAATGTGCAGATTACAGGTTGCTACATGTGTTGAAACTTCATGATGTTTAAGAAGAGTTCCGTTTTATTTCTTTGACAATCATTGTAATTTGTTTTTTCTGCTTGGATAGATTACACGTTATTTTTAGCATTTTGTTACGAAATTGCCAAAGGGGTAGATTGTAAGATATATATTTTGGGAAGATTGTAAAAAGTATATATTCTGTAATTGGCAACTTTCAATGTCAAAACAAGTCTTAATCGAGTTGTAAATTCAAATTACTATATCGGGATCGACAATGACTGTGGAATTAGAAGGTTGTTCAAAGTTACCATAATTGAGATCATTCGAAAAAGGTAAGAACAACACTTTAGGAAGGAATCTAAAAAGGTTAGGATACATTTCATACTTGGTATATTTTTAGAAATTTCCAAAACAGGATTTTTACTAAGTTCAGGCTGAAAATTCAAGTCTGCTAGACTTGAACCGGTTAAGCCCCATTGAACCGGTTCAAGGCCTTCAAGATTGGTTTCAAAATCTCACTCCCAATCTTGAACCAGTTCAACACCCTTAAACTGGTTCAAGATGTCCTGACAACAATACAACTTATAGTTTCTTGTTTCAGAATTCTTTCCTATTTGGTCTAGAATTGTACCAAGTCCTATACACGAATTTTTTTATATTTTCAGAGGGACTAGGACATTTTTAAACTCTATATAAACCTTGTTATACATATAGATTTAGTCACGGCTTTTGCATAAAAAAATTCATATATATTAGAGAGCCATCTTTGAGTGATATTTTTATTCAGAAAATCAATCTGATTTTTCTGATTTTATTTTTGAGAGCACACACATAAACACAAGAGTGATTTAGTAGTGTTTTTCTCTATCTCATCGAAATTGGAGCATAATCGAAGATTCAGAAATTCCGGAAAAGCAAAATTAATTCATTCTTCGTCAAATTCAGATCTAGAAGAAAATGGGTGAAGCGATCACACTTTGAAAGGGTCAGAGCATTCGTAGAGTGTTGTCTGATCTACCTGCAACTCATCTACAAAGATCAAGAGTAAGTCTGAGGTCGAGAGCTGTTGGACGGGGGAGTCGTAAAGTCAGGGATCGTCAACAATTGATTTTTCGTAGAAAGATAGAGTGTGAGACTGAGTTAAAGTTCAGTATACTTTGCTTCAAACATAGTGGATCATTTATCTCAGGACTGCAAAGTTCAACGAGGTTTTTTCCTGTTACAATTGGTTTATTCTACCTATTAAGGTTTCCTCGCTAAAATCCTAGTGTCATTTTTCAAACTATATTTACTTTACTTGCACTTTAGTTTTGTTTTGTGGTTTGATTTTAGTTTTATTTCGGTAAAATTAAAATAAGTAAAAATTAGATAAAAAAGTAAGTTAAATCTATTCACCATCCTCTCCAGGTTATCTATCCATATTATATTCCACAACCATTTCGTTGCGTACAAACTCTCTACACTTTGACTTGTGAAAAGAGGATTCTAGGGAACTTGATGTAACAAATAGTTGTTTCAAATTTTCTATTTGTTTTTTGGAAAAAGAAAATTTATATATATATATATATATATATATATATATATTATGGGTTTAATTATGAAGGGTTTTTTTTTTCTTCACACACACACACACATATATATTTGTTGATTTGATATTTTTCCACTAAAATTAACCCTAATTGCATCTTTAATGATTAAACTTTTGATAAGAATAAAAATCAAATTATTGTTAATAACTGAGCATTATTCTAAGTATAAACATTCATCATATTCCAAAATTATGATTATTAGTATAATATGATTGTATTTAGTTTTTTTATTTTCTTTATTTAGCTTTGTTTGTTGAATAAATCTTTCTTTGATGAGGATTTATTTATTTATTATTATTATTATTTTTTTTTTGGTAATAGTAATGACATAGTCACATAAGATTTAAAATGTAGGTATATATATAGCATATATAGCATACAAGAATGTTTTATTATATTTTTGTTTTTTGAAAACTGTTTTAAAAATTTTCCTAAATAGCTTGAATGGAAAGGTTTGTTTGGTTTTTTTTTTTTTTTTTTTTAAGTTAAAGCTCACATATTGATGGAAGGAAGATTTGAACCTAAGTCTTTCACCACAAACATCACACGTCTTACCACTTTTTATTTTAGCCCAAAATTTGCTTGAACACCCTAGTTTCAAAACTAGTTTCATACAGAAGTAAGATGAGCTAGCCCAATTAGATTGTGTAATTCGAGAATGACGCCTGAAGCTATTTTCAAGAGCAACAAATGCATTGTTTTTGTATAATTGGGAAGAGAAGATATATATCATTAGCAATTTAGCATGAAAAAAAAAAAAAAAAAAAAACAAAAAAAATAGAAGACAGAAAAAGGAGAGAACAAAAATCATGAAAAACAATGCACACCAAATCATGAGATTGAATACTTACATGAAACAAAGGAGTTTGATGACAAATACCAAACAAGGTATCTAGAAATGAGCTCAGCTAAATCATGAATTCTCACATTTCACATATTAGTGAATCATTTGACAACATATGAACTAGTCTCCACTCAGACCAAAATATAGCAACCTGCTTAATGTTTCTGGCATTGCGAAATGTCCTTGATGAAAGCATCAATGTTTGTTTCCGCGGATCCACCTTTTGCAACAGCTTGCTGACAGATCTCTTTAAGTTCACTGGCTCTTCTCCTCATCTCTTTCGCTTCATCGCTTTCCAAATCCATAAACCTCTGCAAAATGCCGGCAATCTCTTCTCGGGTCACCACACTGCTGTCTCCCACCTCTCTCCTCACCCTCCAACCAATCTTCCAGTCTTCTGCAATTCTCTTACTATTCGGAATTTGATCCGAAAATATGGGGTATGTAAGAAATGGCAGACCAGCAAAAAGGCCTTCTTTAGTGGAATTCCACCCACAATGTGACCAAAACCCCCCTATTGAAGGATGGCACAATACCTTCAATTGGTCACACCAAGGCACTACTAGCCCCTTATCACCGCAACCCTCTTTCAGTTGAGAAACCTCGCCACGAGCCACCCACAAGAAGCTGACACCACTATCGCGAACCCCGGCAATGATTTCATCCATTTGGGCACTCGAAACCGAAAGGAAGCTCCCCTGTGAAATGTACAAGACAGAACCTCTAGGTTGAGAATCTAACCATTGTACATGGTGGGAATCATTGTGGGCAGTACTTGTTGAGGAATGTTCTGCAAGTCTGAAGTAAGGTATGGCAGGACCAATAGCGTAAACGGGGATGGATAACTCTGCTTTCAGAGCATCAATGTTCTCAGCTTCGAGCTCGTAGGTGGAAGTGAAGAGAAGATACTGTGCTTTCTGCACCCATGAAATGGCTTCCAGGACTCGCTGCAACACTTTCCGAGCATCGTCATAGTAAACTGTGGTTAGATCTTTTATGCGCGTAGGAGGCACTCCGGGTATGTAGTCTACTATCTCATTTCCTCGTTCTAACACACGAACACACAAAATCCATACGACAAGTTCCATCATTATTTGGACATGAAACACAAGCAAACAAATGAAATAAGGAACATTTTTCATTCTCTAGTGTACTCAAATAATTTTTTTTTTATTTTTTCACATTTGTTTACTATGAAACAAGATTCATTTCTTAACTCTAATTGCTTATATGTTTCAATTATTTAATTTCTTAAATTAAAGGACTCAAAAGCAGTGGCTTAGTTTTTGGAAGGTTTAATTTCATAAACATACGTCACAATAACTGTTAAGTTGCCTCCATAAAATTTGCTTCCCTTTAGAAAGGGATTGTGAAATCCATACTCCATTTTATTTTTTAGTAAATGAAATGACATAATTATTCTTCAAAAATGGAACATAGCAGTATTTTTTGTGTTAAAGGGTGTGAGTGCTTCTTTTTTCCTAATTAATGGGTTGATTGCTTCTCGAAAACATTTTTTTTCTCTTAATCTAATTTTGGAAATAAGATCAGACAAAGCCATCTCAACACAAGTATTTACTATGTCCCAACGAGGAAAAGGTATTGGGTGCGCCCTGCGCACTATGCACGGATTTCATTCAAGCCGTATGTGTAATGCACAACACGCTTGTACGACTCAAATGAGTTGATGCCTGTGCACCTGGCGCATAGAATATCTATTCCGGAACGAAGATTTCAAATGACTCAAGGAATAAGTGAGGAGATACCACTTGACAGTTTTGGAGTGCATTATTGAATTGTTAAAAAAATTGACCGTGTGAATTTTTTTAAAAATTCATGATTTACACTTTACCACATTTATTGATGGTGGCTTGAAATATATAATTTCTTAAATCATGTTAAAAGGAGTCTAAAAGCTCACCTTACCATAATGTAGGTAAACAATTAACTTTTAGAGATTCTTGCTACATGTCATAATTCAAAGAATATTTTAGAGGGGGTATAAAGGTACTTTTGATTAAATTATTTTATAAAGAAGAAGTGATAAATTTGATTTTGCCATCATCAAAGTATAATAATAACAATATAACTTTGTTTTTCTTTATAAATAAAAATTAAAAAGAGACTATTTACAACTAAATGTACTAACATTATTTAACATAGCCCTTCTCTCTGTGAGAGTGAAGGACTCTTCAATGGTGAGGAAAGCAATAATTGATTGGGGACTTCCTGGTGCCTCCATCAGACCTCCAGCAGAGCCACCGGATTGATTAAGGAGGCGCCGTGCGGCGCTTGCTTCACGATGCCTCTGCTTTGTAACCGGATTGTCTTGCTGATTTAGACGAGCTTAGAGTCTGTTTAATTTTCTAATTCAGTATTGAATGCAAAACAGGGTAGGTGAATTTTAAAAAGGAAAATGATATTTGGGCCAATGAGGCAAATTTCTTAGGCAGAAATACGTGGCTGTCCACATGGCAGTAAAGTTGTACGTCCCTCAATTTCTCTCTCCTCTCTCCTCTCTCTCTCTTTCTTTCTAACAAGCCCATTTTTTCCGTATCAGTTGGGTCTGTGAGATCGGCGGGACAAGGTTGCTGCACAGAGGCCGGCAAGGACGAAGACGGAATGGACCAGTGAGCAAAGATGGTGTAGAGAGCACGGAACGGCAGTGCAGTGGCGGTGACGGGATCGGATGTGGAGAACTCGACCGGTGGAGTGCTTGGCTGAGGATGATCTGACCGGCGGTGGCGATGGGCTGGCTGTGATGGAACGATGTCTCTTCACCGTTTGTGATTCTCAGACACGACCAGGTCACGAGAGCTTTGGAACCCTTCGTGTTCTTTGATACCCTTTTCCTCTTTCTTGGCTGTATTGACTGATTTTTCTATTTCATTTCTATTTTCTTCTTCAATTGATACACATAAAGGAATATCATAGCGAGAATGCCAATTCCTGCTAAATCCCCAACTACAATCCCTGCAATTGTCCCTGGATTTAGCCCCCTCTGTTGTTGATTAGGAGAATTCGAAGACCCATTTGCTGAATTTGTTACCGAAGTGGAGTCAATTGTTCTGGGTATGACCGCAATTGCCGAAGAAGTGTTGTTTGTTATGACATTAGACAGAGTTGAGAGCTTTGAAGGGATTATACAAAGCTTCTTGAGTGGTTTGCTGCAGAAATCCGTGTCTCCGAGAAATCCGTGTCTCCGACGAACTCTGTTTTCTAATTATCTAAGGCCATGGATTGTGGGATTTCGCCGATGAGATTGTTGAAGGAGAGATCAATTGTAGCGTTCGCCGGGATATTATTCACGGATTGCGGTGAAAGTGACCCAAAAAGCTTGTTGTAAGATAGATTCAAATATCTCAAACTCTGCCCACCGAAATCAACAGCCAATGACTCATTAAACATATTGGAAGATAGATCTAACGCTTCATCGAAATCAAACCCACCCGGAATGTAACTGGAAAAATAGTTACTTCTCAACGAAACAACAGTGAGATTCTTCAAAGAGGTCAGATTTTCCATGAACTGCTGACTGATGTGTTCTGTTTATGTGTGAGAGAGAGAAACAGATTGAGAGGAAGACTTGTCTCTGATCTCTGGGCAATTGAATGAGAGAGAAGGTTGTGTTGAGACTTGAGAGAGAGAGAGAGAGAGAAGAGACACCGAGAGAATGTTTGTCAGGGCGTGTATTATTTCCATTTTTTTTTTTATTTATTAAAGTTACTTACCTGTACTGCCAAAACAATCGGCCAAAGTCTCATCTATCACGATCCTTTTAAAAATAAATTTTTTTGATAAAATTTTTAAATATAGCTTAACATGGTAAATACATTTTAAGCGCCGGTTGTGTTTAAAAAATAACTTTTTAATAATTACTCATTTATATTAATTCACTGTAAAAAACAATTATTTATATAACACAATCCTATTCAATTTCACTAATATTATGTAATTATTTATATAATAGAATTATAATATCAAAGAAGAATTATCTTTCACGGACTTTCTTAACACTCTTTTCAATACCTTACCATGTAATCTAAAACCCATATATTTTAAATTTTACTTTTTTAAATATTTTGTAACATTCTTTTTAATATCTAAAACCTATATATTTTAAATTTTCATTAATTATTTATGATGGATGTATAATTTAAATATCCATAATTAAGGGAAGATTACTAAATTAACGCACTATTGAGATAGGCTCTACAGATTACGATAAGGATTACAGATTGAGATAGGCTTTACAGATTACGATAAGGATTAAAGATTGTGATAAGGATTAAAGATTACGATGAGGATTAAGTCTACATAATTCTACGTGACATCTTAACCTAAGCCCTATAAAAAAGGCGGGGGAATCAACGTTTTGAGATACGCAAAAAACCTTAACTCAAGTTCTTGATTTCTCTTAAGAGATTAGTTCGCACACTGACTTATTCGTTGGAGCCTACTCCACCGATAACACACCGGTGCTTGTAGGATCACCTTTTCTTCTCTCTGTCCAGGAAGTTAGATCAGATCCGGGTTGCGCAGAATCCATCATCAACAGTTGGCGCCGTTTGTGGGAAAGATTTTAGTTCTCTAAATAAAGTATGGTTCGATTGCGATCTGGTCTGGTTGCTGGCGAATACGAAGCGTTGCAAACTTCTGATCAAAGGGACTCGATGAGGCAACCCCCCGCCGTCCCAAACGATCAGGAACGCGTCACAGCGTTGGAACAATAGGTTTAACCTTAAATAAGGGAATGAACCAATTAGTCCAGAAAAATTCAATGATTCTACAACGCTTAGCCGACCTTAATGAGGTGGAGAATAATGAAGTACCCAATAATGACTCCCGTAGGATTGACAACGACGCTGAGCTTAGTCAAATAGGGGGTCAACAGAGAAGCCATCACCATCGGTCTCTTGAACGGAATAATACCAAGCTCCGTGTAGGTACCTCTGGTTGTGTTGGTGACAAGACTAAAGACGTCACTTATTTCAATCTGTAGATGCAAGATCTGAGAACTAGGGTCAAAGACGTCATGCAAGCAATGAAAGGGAAGGGCCAGGCCACAGTGAACGATTTGGTACAGAAGACCAACCTAGCATTTAGCCTCGCTGTTATGTTATGAGTTGTCCTATACCTAGCAAATTTAATATGCTAACTCTTGAGAGCTTCGTTGGGACGCGGGACCCTCTCGATCATTTGGAGACCTACAAAGCTCTTATGTATTTGCAAGTCGTACCGGATGAGATTATGTGCAGGGCTTTCCCTACCACACTAAAGGGTTGGGCTCGTCCTTGGTTCAATAAATTAAAGTTAGGCTCCATTGAAATCTTTAATGAGTTGAGCAAACAATTCATTGGACACTTCATCGCTGGGCAGAGGCATAGGAGATAGCAACACACTTATTGAATGTGAAATAGCAGAAGGGAAAGCCTCTCCGTGGTTACATAAGTCGTTTTAACGCTGATATGCTGCAGGTAGAAGAGGAGGACGACAAGGTTGCCCTCACAGCCTTTATGGGAGGACTACAGACTTCTAAGTTCCTATTTTCCTTATCAAAAGAAGCCCCTACAAGCATGACAGAGTTGATGGTTAGAGCATGAAAGCACATGAACACTGAGGATGCTATGAATGCACGAAAAAACAAAGATGGTGAAGATAAGAGGTCGGAGAAGAAGAGGCCAGCACCTAACACTAAGGAGGAAAAGGAATCGAAGTACAAGAAATTCTCAAACAACCAGGCTGACAGATCGTCTCGCCGCCCAGTGAGCCCAGGCAGGTATAATAACTATACCCCCTAAATACATCTGTAGATCAAGTCTTTCTGCAGATTCAAGATGACGCATCATTGAAATGGCCGCCAAAGCTAAAAGCTGATCCAACAAAGAAGTCTCTAGGTAAATACTGTAGGTTTCACCGGGAGCATGGACATAACACAGAAGATTGTTTCGACCTCAAAAACCAGATCAAGAACCTTGTTCGTAAAGGTCATTTACGTAAATTCACAACTGGAAATGGAAAAGGAGGCTCCAACCCAGCTCGGGAGGG